CGCTAATGGATCCTGCCCCTGCAGCATCCATCACCATGCACTACTTCAACAAATATCTCTGGAGTGCCAGGTACTGTTCTAGGCACTGGGGACACAGCAGTGAATAAAAGAGACAAATATCCCTCCTCTCATGGAACTCTTTACTGGGGAGTTTTCTCCATGGCTCTCTAGGAGAGGGAGAAGCAAAAATACAATATAAACAACTATATTAGAAAGTGCTCGGGCCGGCCCTGTGGCTTAGCGGTTAGGTGCGTGCGCTCCGCTGCTGGTGGCCCGGGTTCGGATCCCAGGCGCACACCGACGCACCGCTTCTCTGGCCATGCTGAGGCCGCGTCCCACATACAGCGACTAGAAGGATGTGCAGCTATGACATACAACTATCTACTGGGGCTTTGGGGGAAAATAAATAAATAAATAAAATTATTAAAAAAAAAAAAAAGAAAGTGCTAAGTGCTAAGGAGAAAAACAATAAAGTCAGGAAGGGAAATATGAAGTGCTAAGATGGACAGAAAAGGCCTAACTAAGAAAGAAGAAAGACCTGAAGGAAGAAAGGGAATGTGGGGAAGCATATATCCATGGGAAGAACAATCTAGGCAGAAGGAACTTCAAGAGCTAAAGCCCTGTGGCGAGACAGTGAGAGCCCTATTGGAGGAACAGAAAAGAGGCTAGTGTGGCTGGAAAGGAGTGAATAAGGAGGAAGGAATAAGATATGAGGTCAGAGAGGAGCCAAGGAGCCAGCTGGTACACAGTCCCGTAGGCCATTGTAAGGTGTTTGGCTTTCACCATGAGGCATATGGGGAGCAATGGGAGAAGTGGGCCCTGGACCAAGCAGAACCATCAGCACCATGAGCACCGGGTTAGATCAGAGCCAGAGGCACCAAGCACAGACATAGTAAACGCAAGTAGGGCATCAGGTTAAAGGTGCTCAAGGAACAAAAAGAGTAATAGGTTAGGGAGAGTAGAGCTGAGGCAGAAAACAGAAACCCACTTCAACAGAAGGAAAACATAAGAACAGAAAAGATTCTTCCTCCTTCTTGTACAAAATATTCCATATGATCCAGGGACCAATGGATAGGGACTAGAAAGCCATGTTACAATGCATTTAAGTTACCAATTTCTCATTTGCATTGACAACAACTTCAACTGCTATAATTGCAAACAGCCTTTTAGAAAAATTATAATAGCAATCAATTTTGATTATTAAGGCTTATATCATAGTTAGAGACTTGTTTTTTTAAAGATTATTCCATTGTAGGCACATTATTTATTGCCAAACACCCATCTGTTTTGCATTTTAGTACTAACTTTTTCATCCTCACATGCATTTCACTGAGAATTTTCTGGGGGGTGATGTTGGAGGTAGTAGCGCTTGCTGTTATTTTGATGGAAGTACAGTATATGCTAGGAAATCTATAATTTATTTCAATTCCTCTTTTACAGAGAAATTAATCAGCACAATTCCCTTGGTCTTCCAAGCAACTGTAAAGAAACTACCATTTTTCTCCCAATGATTGCTTTAGATCTTTATTTGCTTATAATTTTCTCACCACCTATCTCTTTATCTTCTGCAACCTGACTTCCAGTCTTGCTATTTCACCAGACCTGCTTTCATCAAAGCTTTCTTCTTTATTCAGATCCTTCTAGAACTCATCACTGCCTTTGACATGTATGACCAAACTCTCATAGTTAGATGGCACTCAAAGCTCACATCCCATAACAACACTCATAACGAGAGGAAAAGGCACCCACTGAAAACAAAGACCAGGAGGGGAAAATATATATAAATGAACTCAGCCAGTGCCCAGAGGCAGAGCTGAGTCACAGCAGGGGCTCAGTTAGGAAGAATTTTTATTTCAAACCCAAGAGCCTTAGAAGTTATTTAGGCCAAGGCCCTCATTTTATAGATGAAATAATGAGGTACAGAAAATGTGTCAGTTAGGATGCCTTTGGTTGCAAGTAATAGAAAACAGCAACTCAATTTGGCTTGAGCAATAAAGAACTATCCTCTCCTACATAATATGAGGTCCAGACACAGGATCCCATGGCTGCTCTTCTGTGGCCCCCTTGACCACGTCACCTTCCATGTGTTAGCTCCATGTGAGCAAATACGGCTGAAGTAGTTTCAGCACTTACATCAGAGTCCTGGGAGCTGGGGGAGGAGAGTAAGAGGAAAGGGGAAGTGTGTCTCTTTCCTGACTCTCTTTTCAGAAGCAAAGAAGCCCTAAGGAGACTTTCTCTCTTGTTACCTCCCCATTTCTAAAGCAATCACAGGCAAGGGAAATGGGATTCCAACACTGCTTTGATTTAAGCCTTGGACCAAGCTTGGGGTAGAATGAGTACTAAGGAGTCAAGGTTAAATAAATTGGCCATAATCAAAACGTTACTTGTAGATCTAAGGTGTCTTGATTCTTACATTTGTCCTACTATACTTCTCAGAATTCACTTGTTTTTCCTGCTCATTAATGATGAATTCAACTCTTCTCTCTTTTTGCAAACTTCTCTGGGGAGCTCACTTGCTCTCTTTGTAATTAACTTAGGCTTCTGTGGAGGTGGCGTAGAGTAACAGTAAGCATTGACTTTAAAGTCAGACTGTCCGGGTTCAAATATAGGCCCCCACCACTTCTGTGTGTGTCACCTTAGGTGTGTTATTAAACCTCTTTCCTCATCCATAAAAGGGGATGACAATAGAACCCACCTCATAGAGATGTTGTGAGAATTAAATAAGTCACTGTATATAAAGTGATCAGACCAGTGCCTGTTACACAATAAGCTCTCCGTAAGTGTGTGCTATTATTATTAAGGGGCAGCTACTGTTTTTGCCTGTGCAGCACCCCTTCCCTCTTCTTTTGGTAAATGTTTCAGTTTTCCTTTGAGGAACTACCCCTCCGCCATGCCACACGATCTTGGCAAAATTCTCAGTCAGTGTGAACTGCTCCCAACCCACAATGGGCAAAAGGTGAGCACAAGGCCCAAGTTAGGCAAATCTTACATTTCCCCCTGGAATCTGAATCTTAACTTGAATGACTCAAGACAGAAAACAGTTAAAATTCAGTCTCTCTAATGTCAAGGCTTTGAAGAGGCTTTTCCCGAGTTCTTGCCCCCTAGAGCCCTGAAACTGTGTTGTCCTTTCCAAAATCTGTTTAACAGTTCTTCCTTGATTCTGTTAGCTATCCAATCCCCTTTAATAAATTCCTTTTTTGCTGAAATTAGCCAAAATTGATTTCTGTTGTTTGTGTAATCACTATGTTGAACAAATAGGACTCCCCAAATCATGAAGTAACTTTATTTTTGTCTCTCATTGTCTCTTTAAACCTATGCATGAGCCTAGCTCTTCTCTGGCCCCTGCCTAGATGGCATAGAAGTTAAGACAGGGGCTCTGAAATTAAACATTCTGGGCTCAAATTCTAGTTCCACCTCCTGCTAACTATGTTATTTAATATCTCTTTGCCTCAGTTTCCTTAACTGTAAAATGGGGGAATAACAACACCTCCTTCATTAGGTTATTGTAAAACTTAAATGACTTCCCAAAGGTAAAATGCCTGGAAGTGTGTGGGGCACATAGAAAGTCCTGGAAAATGTTAATAGAGCTGATGGCAGTGGTGGTCCAGAGAGGTTATCTTTCTTCCTCACAGTCCATCATATCAGGCTCTAACTGTTCTTGTTTCCATACCTATGCTCATTCTAGCCCTTTCTCCTTTTCTAAATCCTTCAAGACATAATTAATTCAAGCACCAGGAGTCCCATAAGGCCCACATTGATCTACAAAGACCACATTAACCTGATACTTTACTTCTAAAATTTATAATCTGTAGCAGACACATGAGTCCTGATTTTTTTAATGGTACTTGTGTGTAAACCATGACTACTCCAACAAGAAAAGTGTTCCTTGAAGGCAAGAATGATATTTTATATTCTTTGATGTCCCTCATATTACTCAGTCCAGAATAAGACTCACAGCAAATCCTTAATAGTTAACTTTTGAATAGATTTTGAACAGCTAAAAGTATTTCGAATCACAATTAGTTCTGGGTTTGTATAGCTGCAAACCCTCAGGCCTCTGTTTTAGTATAGATGCTGCCCAAGTGAGCACACGGCCTATGTTTTTGTTGTGTATATAAGCATACAAAAAAGACAGGGTACAGAACTTTCCGTTTCCTTCCCACACTGGCCCATACATAATGGCATTCAATTAATGTTTTAACTATCTATAAAAAAGCTGAAAACTTTAGGAGCTGAAAATTAATTCCAAATATGATAAGAAAATTCCAAATATATCTGTTACTGTTAAGATTTGAAACCATAATGCCAAAAGGTACTGTTTTGTTTAAAAATAAAACACAAGCAGATAAGGTAAACAGATACTCTCAGACAGTTTTTTCCCCTTCTAACACATTTTTTCCCCCATAAGAATTGTTGATGAAGGAGAAAGTAGAGAAGATAACTCTTGTATCTTTTTATTGTCATGTTTCTGGAGAAATGTTCTTTTACTTTTGAAATAACTTAAAGTACACCATCTTCTTTCTCTGACTTCTCTAAGCATGTGAAAAAATATACATAGCAAGAAGAACTTCTCCCACTGATGCCCAAGAGCATATTGTTCACATATAAAAAGATGCGCTGTTTCATAGCTATGTAGGCTGTTATTTAATCATGGGAAAAGTCCACTGGGAAAAAGAAATTGAGTAAGCCTGGACTCAATTCCACGTGAAACTGTCTGTGAAATGGAGATGCATAAATTGACTCACTTAACTGATCCTGGAAACAGGCTTAGATTACATCTAAATGACACCTCTATAAAATTCCATACTTTTTGACTTGTTGTTTAATGGATATGGTTATTTCAAACCATGCTTTTTTCTAAATGCTATCCACTATGAATTTTTCAACCAGACCAACTCTTTACTGTCTCCTTTCTACAGAAACACTCAGTCTAGGAGAGAAAGTTTTCTCTCCTAGGAAGAGGAAGAAGGATGACAGGAAAAAAACACTGCATATCTTACCTGGATTGTGCAAGACAGCCTGGTGCTACCACATTCTGACCCGCCTCCTCAGTGTGGAGTGCAGTGAGCTCTACCACGTTAACCATCACATCACTGGTGTGGCCTGGAAGCTGGGGAAGCGCTGAAATGATCTTCTCTACCAAGTTGTCTCCATGATGTCCAACCGCCCCTGTTTAAGCAGACAAGAACATATAAACTCACAAAACACGAGGAAAAAGAAGCTGGACTAATGCTTTATAATGGCCCTTCTATCAAGAGTAACATACATTTTTAGTTTCTGTTACACAAATCAATAACATAAGCCTAGCGTTTTGCCCTCTGTAACACTAATCAAGGTCACAATTACCTAGTCAACATGTGCCTTGTGTGTTGGACTTAAGGCTCCATGACGGCAGACACTGTGTCTGCTCTGGTTACTACTAATTCCTAGCACCTCGCACAGTGCCTATATATGGTAGGATCAATAAATATTTAATGAATGAATAAATAATCAGCAAATAGTCAGCCAGGTAAATAGTGTCATAGGATGATACTATCCTGAAATTTTAGAGCCAAACTTTATTTTACTGATGAAGACATTAAAATGCAGAAGGGCTTAGAAACCTGACCAAAAATAGCAGATCTCCCCTCTCCTAGAACCTTATCTTCATAATGGCAACTGCTTATCTAGATCTCCCTTTATCCATCATGTCTAGCAGGTAAACTTGGCAGCTAGTGAGCTCTCACTAAATATTTGTTAGATGAAGGAAAGAATAAACAAATGAATGGTAACAGGTTGCAATGATAGAAGCATTGATAGAATGCTTTCTGTGTACCAAGCACTGTTCTAGGTGCTTTACATGTATTAACTCTTTTAACAAAAAATGAATTAATGAACTCAAATTGAAATTCAAGACCAAGAACACAGTTAAATACTTTTTCCATGAAGTCAAGTTATCTTTCCAAATGCCTTCATTGCTTGGAAGACCTCATCCCAACAATGGGTGGGGACTTGGCACATCCACTTGTTTTGATCCCACTCACTTCAAATCAACCAACATTTTGCTTCCTAATGTCTCTCTCTCTCTCTTCGTTTTTTGCCATGTCAAATTACTGGCCAGAAGAACTAGGTAGAAAAGACTAAACCAGGAATCCAAGCAATCATCATCATCACTATCATCATCACAATAGCTAATATTTATTGAGAGCTTATGATATCCCAGGTATTAAGTTCCATACTGTACATTTACTATCCACGTAATTCTTACAACAACTCTAATGGGTAGGTATTATTATGGTCATTTACAGAGTAGAAGATTCAGTTTAAGTAAGTTGCTCAAAATTACATAACTTATAAGTTATAGAGCAAGAATTCAAACTCGCAGCAGATAACTCCAAAAACCACACTCTTTATTAAAAAAAAAAAAATCAAGCTCATAAAAGTGACTTAAGACAGAGCCAGCATGAGTGCTTCTAAGGTGACAGAGTTAAAGAAAAGAGTTCTTGTTCTACCAGTAGAATATTCATTTATTAGGCCTGGAAGGAACCATATCTTATTTATGTAGTCTGTGGTTTATGGTTATCTCTCCAGTACTCAGATTACAAGCTACTCATTAAATACTTGCTGAATGAATGCCTAGTGACTATAAGTGGCCCTGAGATCCAGAGGGGGCTCAGAAGTCTCTAAGTGAATTATATCTTTAAATTAAGCCTGGAATGGAAATACTAGGATTACCTCATAGCATTCTCTCTCTCCACTAGTTCCCTCCTCACTTACTAAAAACTTTTATAAATCTCCAGTTATCACTAAAACAACTTTCTTTGAACTTGGTGCCCAAATTCTGAACCCTGTGCCAAGTTATTCTTGTTTTTCGACTGCCAGTCACAGACACGTGGCACAAACAAGTGGTCTATTATGTGCTGCCTTTCCTTCCTAACTTCTCTAGCCCCTACAATCTGGCTGCTGTTCATTCCTCCTCCCTATGCCACACTCAGTGGTCTTTGGCAAGTGTGAGTTCATTAAACTCTCTGCAAATTGAAAATGTTGACTAATCTAGTCCTCTTGAAACTCTCTGAATATGAGAAGTCAAGATATAACATACTTATTTTTTCTTAAGGTTTAATAGCTAATAGTTATTTTTACAGAACCAAAGTATCATTTATATGCCTAAAATATTATATACTAACATCCTAAATGTTTAAAAGTAGAGGAATAATTTTTTAAAAATTATGGTATACTTATTGAAGCAATTCTCAAACTGTGATTTTTATTTTCTTCTATTTATGTATAGGTTCTAAACTTCCTATGGTGAACATATATTCCTGTTGTAATAAGAATAAAAAATATATTATACACATACACACACAAATATTCAAAAATTTTAACAAGGGTTATCTTTGGATGGTAGGCTTTTGGTTGATATAAACTCTACCTAAACTTCATTTTTTCCCATTGTTTTCTACGTGGAGCACATGGAACTTACTTAATTAGAAAAATAATTTACATTCCATCAGAAACTGTTTAAAATATTACATCAGAGAATTAACAAAAGGCCAACTTTACATGACCATGATTACTCAGCTTTTTAGATTTAATCAAAAGGATATATATGTCTAACATGTTTGATAATGAAGGATAAAGCAGGTATGAGCTTTCAACCAACTGTCTTGCTCTTCTGTGAATACAGTTTCTCACATGTCTGGCATTAGAGGGTTCAATATTCATTTTTAAAATTTAATTAGAGCCATTTACATGACTCAAACATAGACTAAGAATTTGGGGCCTCTCAATGTCACAATAACTTCAGATTCTTCTTTTATAAAATGAATAAAATGCCAAGATTTGTATCATACTTAAATTTTCAGAGAGCTTAATTTTTCCTTTACTACAGAAATTTAAAAATATTATTTAGATGCTCAAAAGTGGAAGTCAACCAGAACCCAGTTATTTCTTCCCTGTCCAACTGTTAATCTGGCCAACAGCAATGTGGTCCAGTCTGTCCAGAGAATGGTTTATTTCCCAATGCCATTTTTTCCAAGTAGGGTGGAGGCAAAAGAAATTGGAGACAGAGCTCTAGTGGTCCCATCCTCCACTAGTTCCTTGTGTAATCTGAGGCAACTTCCATAAATGTGGTGCTGTTTTACCAAGCTAAAAACTCAGAGTTAGTCCAACTGACACCTAAATATCTTTGAACCTCAGGATTTGAGGTCCTAAGTTAAGCCAACAGCTTCAAGGGCTTAACTTTTTTAGTTCACAGCACCAGAAAAATACCATTCCTGTGTGACCCTGTGGATTATATGTGAATGTATATGCTAGTATCATTACCATAAGGCAAGTAACATCTTCACTTGCCTCTACTTACATAGGATAAAGTGAGAAACAAGAATTGAGGAACCTTCACAAGAGCTCAGTCACACTGTAGTAGGGCTCAAAAGATAAAAATGCAGCAACAGCCTTCTCTACATTTCACAAACAGGATATTTTTGGGTTGTGCATATTGTCCCTTTGCGTTGAGATAGGGCTTTTGGACTCAGAATTCGCATATGCAAAAACTCACCTCCTTTCCGATTCCCCATCATTCCTTCCCAAGAATCTGTGACTGTCTTTCATTATTTTGAAATGTTTCAGTATTTGATTATATTTCTGTCTTACAAGAACGGACTATTTCTGTATTACTCCTGATGTTTCCTTCCATGTAGAGGGATAACAATTAGCATAACACTCCTGAACTTGCTTTACTTCCTTCCATCAATCACTTTTCCCCTAGGCCATCAGGCTCTACTCTACTCATTCTTCCTAGCTTAGGTTCTGCCCTTGGGAAGAAGGAAAAAGACTTGCTCTGGTCCAAGCCTGCTGCTGAGTGGGTAAACTTTCTAACTCTGGATTGGGTATTAGGAAGCTCACTTGTCCATAGATATAAGCCACATTCTTTAACGCTCATAATGTTTATTATGTATGCATAATAACGCTGGTATTTTGGCCTCTGCCTGCCAACTCTTTATCTCATATTCAATTAATTCAGATTCTGGATGGGGAAAGGAGTGTTAGTTATTAGATCCCCTCTAATACTACCATTTCTAACAGTGCCTATGGTTGTCTCACATCAGTCAAATCTAGTACAAAGGGGATGTATTACAGTAGATACTGCATACCAGTCAAAACCCTGCTTAAGTTTGCCATATACTAGGTAGTATTTCGGGCTATGGCAGTGGGAGAATTATAAGGCAGTATGTATACAAGTTTATTCAATAAGTAGATTTCCCCACACAGTAATTTTAGATAAGAGAATCACATAGCATTTATTATATTACCCCTAATTTGCATCTTCTCCTACATTCCATATTTCAGGGAATCGACTCTGAAATTGCCCAAGCTAGAAAACTTGGCATGTCTTTGAAGGGGAGGAAGAGTATCCTCTACTCACTCTGGGTCCTTTCTGGCTGGGCTACAAATTAAATTGACATGAGACCAAACAGCAGGAGAAAATCAAACAAAGCTTTATAGCATGTATGCATGGGAGAGACCCAGGGAAACTGAGTATCTAGATAAAATGGCAGAAGTTCTCCTCTTAAATAGAAAGACAAAGGAAGATGTTGGGGGTGAGGGGAGTCAGCTATGGGAGATTACCAGAAAAGCACAGTAAACAAGAGTAAGGTTAATATGCAGATTTAAGTCCTTGCCTTCTGCACTGATAAGAGTTTCTAGAGATAAAGTCATACCCCCTTCTTCCTGGTACAGAGAGGGGGATACTTTTACAAATGGAGATTTCCCTTATAAATGTAAATGTCTCCTACAAGGGATAACTTCTACTTTTACTTGGAATGGGCTTAGCAAGGACCCTCTGAGTCTATCCATAACCAGAGTTAAATTTGTTTAGGCAGTTATTTGGGGGGGGTGGTCAAAGTTTCTTTCAGAGAAAATAATCAAGGTAAAGAGACATATTTTGAGGTGGTCAATTCTGATCCCCCACATCTTCAAATCTTTCCCTTAATTCTCTATCATTATTATCAGTCACCACTCTATTAATTCTTTCACTTAAATACTCAACTATTCTTCTCTTCATCCTTCATAATATTGACTCAATATAAACTCACACAATTTCTCACCTAGATATTATAATAGCCCCCTCATCAATCTCCTAGCCTTCAGTATTTCTTGCCTTTATCTCATGGAGCCCATAGCCCCTAGGC